GTTTTTACTTAGACGACCAGGTTTCGACGTTCCTCTTATGTATCTTGAAGTTATTCTTAATGAATTAACTGTTGCTTCACTACACGTTTTCCGATCGTTTGAAAATGTGCTATTCAACAGAACTGAGTGGCATGTATACTAATTTGTTGATAATACTAATCTGCATTGGTTATCTTCATAGGAAATGATTTTGGACTGAATAATCCTGACACATTCAGCGCATGAATGGTCACTGTGGCCACTAGGTCACCTTCGAATTCCGGTCAATTCGCATACGCTGAGAACTGTCATTCCAAAAATCATAATTTTTTGATATATGAGGGCTATTATTGCAGTTTTGTCTATTGTTGATGTATTATGCTATATTATACTTGTGTCAATTAGGCGATATTTGTGTCAGAATTCCACTTTCCATCTAAAACTAACAGGTTGATTTAATCGTTCACCTCTATTGTGTGAAAATTTAACCCGTAGTCTTTTACAGGATTCAAGGATGAGCACTACTTTATATTAAAAACTATCTGATATAGTCACTCAACAGTAAGCAAGAAGACGTGGATAAGAATATTTTGCTTTGATCTATAACTAAGTGTTCCGTCTAAGCTACTACATCAAGAAACCGTTACTATCTGGGATTACTCAACCTCTGCTTCTACAATTTGTTAACTCATACATCTTACCTATTGTAGTTAAACCGTTCGAACTGTCATCTCAGTGTTTTCAAAAAATATAATTCTCAAAACAACAATGACAAATATGTTATGTGTTGAATGTTATTTTTAATATTGAAATCCGATGGGAACCTAGTTGCTTGGTGGAGTGCTGGATGGATTATCATGCCTACAGCTTGTTTAGCTTCACTTGCCATAGTTTCATAATATTATATTTTTTCTTCCCTGGCACTTTTCTTTACTCTTCTGCTCAGTGTAGTGTAGCTTGCATTCAACTCGTGTTTTCATTGCTTGTCAATACACTGGATAATCCTTTTTTTCACCATTCTGCTATCTTCTATTAGTCTCCATGTGTCTGCAGTGAGCTACAGTTTGTTATGTCTCTTCTCTCTGCCTAGAGCTTCCATGCAGGTTTGACTCCACTCAGCTTTCAAGCTCTTCCGGTGCTTTCTAACGCTGGTCACCTCGCCAGTGTTGATTTGCGGCTTCGCATCGTTCCTAAAGAATGATGTGAAGATGTCCTTTGTGACCTCATCCTCCAGTTTTTGAGTATTTAACTTGACCTGTGGTCTTTTTGCAACTCTTGTTTTCTTAGACGTTTTTAATTTGATTTATAGTTTTCCTTGAATGAGATACTGTCCACCAAGCTGAGTCTCTAGTTCACATAATTAACATAATAACCATCTGGAATACATTTCACTTAAGAAAGACTGTTGAAAAATGAGAAGACATTCTTGTCGTTTATTGTATTAGGTGAATGGACTCTTTCCTAATAATTTATTAACAAGCTGTTCTATGGGTGGTCTTTCATGATGGATAAATCGAACAGGTTCATTGAATCAAACCTGTGTGTAAATGAGCATGTGAAGTAGCCTGTGGGGAGATGGAAAACAGCTTGCACATGTGACACTCTGTCCTTATTATTTCGCTCTGCTTCAGTATAAAAACTTTTCAGTTTCTGATTGCATTAACTTGCCCCCCTTAAACTCACGCTCCTAGATAACGACTACGTGAACTGATTGATCGACAGAAATATGGCTATTTCGCTGAACCCTAAAGGATTCTTCAATCATGAATTTGGAATTAAATGCTGATCACGCTGCAGAAATGCTCAAAAAATGTCTCACTGAATAGTTTAGTCAAACGATCTTAGCAACCATTTTTAAAAATTGTTCACCAGAATCAAGTTGTAATCCGACTATATAAAACATAAGCTCCCTTTCTGGCAGCCTACATAGGAATCCCTCAGTTCTTCTGATCTTGTGGAGCAAATCATATCGGTCGTAGCCATAGAACTCTTTCCATACGGATTCGAGAACTTTTTGGATCATGGTTTCACCATGGAAAAAGGAAGGCTGGACGAAGCTTTATTCCACTGCCACTCTACTAATATTGACCATTATTTGGAGATCCTCTATAGAATCTGCTAACTTGCAGCGTTGTCTTTCTTATAAAGTTCTAAAAACAACAGGGACATTCTCTACTAATGAATTTTAGCTATATATTTTTGTCGAAAAAAAGAAGTTTGTTCAGTCCCTACTTCTGAGATGTTCGTAGAGGAATAGATATTTATATATTTTTTCTCTTCATTAAGTTAATGTATGTATATATTTCTCACTACTGGTGACGAATATATAGCTTTCGTATTCAGGACTCAGTCTGTCAGTTCCACTGAATAAATTCTTATCCCCCTAGCACTTCTTTCTTCCTTCATCCGATCGTTTATTCGCTGATCAGTTGGTAGGATCATAAGCGTGTTAGTTGTTCGTTCACTTAGTCAGTTAGTTGGTTTGTTACTCCTCAATAAATAGGTTTATTTTAATAATCACACAGTTGTGCAGTATTACCAACCGGATTTGTGCTGTTAATACGATATCGCTGTGTGAATAATAAGATAAAATTATCTTATGTGAAATTGCATTATACTACAATGCCCAAGTTCTACACTTAAATTGGTAAGTTGGCTAGTCTGTTAGTTAGTGAGTTAATCAGTTGTTCATTTGGTCAGATATTTATTTGGTTATTTAGTTAGTCAGATATTAAGTCACTGGTGAATAAAGAGGAAATATGAGGATTATTAATACTCAAATAGATGACGAATTCTCATGACTTAAGTAATTCTGATTGCATTAGAATTGATAGGCAGTTAATATCTAATGGCCGTCTTTAACTTGTGTTTTCAGATGATGTTGAATTCGAAGCATGACTATAAGGCTATTTCACTTAAACGAGATTTCGACCCATTGAATAAACAGTTTCTTTGATCCCTTTTAGAAACCAGGCAGGGACAGAAATATTCTACTGGTCATCCAAATTAAAATTGCCATTTTCTGAATAAGTTTCTATTCGCTTCTTAAATTTTGATTACAGTTTTGGATACTGATGGGTTAAAGCTAAGTGCTTCATGGTTCTTTTCTGACTGTGGCAAGTTAGTTACACATGGAAATACTCATCATTCTTTCTATGAAGCACGACTTTAATCGTAGTCTATGGATTGACTTCCCGTCAAAAGGTTCGCATCTATCACTGTCAGTCTCCACAGTTCAGATGTGCACTTCTTCAATACAACGCCCAAAGTCATGGATTAATCTCCGGCTTGATACAAAGAAGGAATATAGAAGCTACTAAGAACAGAGAGGACAATACACAAAATAATGTTGGACAAATGTTTAATTCCTATAGCTAATCCGCTGATATTATGGGGGCACTTCCCTCATAAAAGTTTGAATTTTCTTAAAACCACCTCACTACAGTCAGAAATATCTATCAAGAAAAAGTATTTCTTATACATTAAATAGTCTTATGAAATTTTCTTTTCTGATACTACAGTGACTTAACCAACGATTAATGTAAGAGTAGGATTTAGGCAGGGAACTAAACATATCTGTGTTATTTATCGGTGCAGTATTCTAAAGATGGTAATACGTACTCCACGATGTCATTCCGGTTGTGTCTAGCAATGCCACATAGCTTATTTATCCAGTTGATTTCCTAACTACATTTTATCTACTAAGCAATTTATTTTTATGAAAATACTTTGGAGAAAACAGAGATAAGTTCAGATTTTAACAAAGTGAGTGTGTCATCCACACATCTCTATTATCGTAATATAAGAAAAAGAAAAGTCGTTCTGATAGCTTTAATTTCCCTGCCATCCATAACTGTATCCGCTAGTAATTCGAACTTTTGGATTCGACTGCTGCACCTCATCTGTTCCTTTGCACAGTTTATTTTGAAACATCTGTACACTGGCGACCGAACACAACTGAATATCCAATCTATTAATAATCGCGAAAATTTCGGTGCCTTTACAGTGCGCTCACCTGCATGAGACATAACGACAGAGTGGAAAAGACTCAAAACAAAACGCAATACAGTCAGTTTAATTGAGCGACTGATCAACAAATCTTTGAGAATAAAATCAACGAACACTTAACACCTGCAATCTAAATGATTGAAACAGAAATCAGGAAGGAGTGAGATTGTGTGAATTACGACTCGAGAACATTTGAAATGTTCAACTAACTAAATTTTGCTTTCAAGTTGAACTCAACCGGACAATCATCAAAAACGAACAGAACGCTTGAATATAATGCAATTCCTTTTGAAATTCCACTCACTAAGACTGACGTCTATCACTTAATCTCCTGACATTTGTCTTCGCAACAACTGAACAACACCTATCGCACAGTAATATATATATATCGTATTCAGAATCGCTTCAGTGCTTCTCAAATTACTAAGTAACAACGAAATGATTAGGAAGTCATGTTTATCTTTATTTATAACAGAAAACTGCTTATCAAGTTAAGAGTAATGAGCAATGTTCATGCATAAATTTCACTGAAGTCAGTGAACTTTGTGATCACCTACCTATAGAGAAATGGAATAAAATAATCAGTATACCACTTAATAAGAAATTTAAAATAGACTGTTTTCTGATTATTGAATTAGTTGCAGAACGAATGACAACATACGTCAGAGTGATCAAGCTAGTCCCATGTTCTCATTTTCTCTGACAAATATAGAGGAATCTGTCTCTCACACACCGTGATACTATTTGCAAAGGTCCCTTCTCGAGGATATCCAATCACGTTACAATCGATAGACGATGCTTCAACTGATTAGTTGAATATCTGCATCATTCAACATCATCGTAGAGGAATTTTTCCCCCTCTCTGTCTCATCATCTGTATTATATCACTCTTCACAATTAATATTCAGCACTCCTATTTCAGATTAATCGATAATAAGTGAAACTCAGCCGATGCTCAAATGATAAAATGGAAATACACGAAATATCAAATTTTGCTCACCAGTCATCATTTTTCACACATAAGCTGCCACTGCAACACAACGAATCAATCAATGAATGAATTAATTTTATTAGAAGAAAGTCGCTTATTAAGAAGGAGATTATCTGAATACATCTAATTAGGAGTGATTTTTGCGAGAATTTTCGAAGTGCATAATTATGTTCAAGCTGAATTGTTAGTGTGAAGGAACAATTTATAACTATTGAAACCGACTAATTACTGAGAAGACTTCACGAATTTTTTTTCTTGTGTGCAGTTGACAACGTTGATCTCAGCAAATTTAGCGTCAGGCTGATTATGACGAAAGCAGAGATTTCATCAATGCACACTGCCACCTTAAACACAGAGAATTTAGTAGGACTTGTTGGCAATTCACTGGTTAAATGCTCCTTGACCCAGTAAGTGGTCAGGATTCTATTCCCGGTCTGTCCAATGCTTCGCCACGCCTAGCCTGTAGTTATCTGGGAAGCGGATTATGTTGAAGTATGGGCTCGGAAACCTCATCCCGTGAAAATAAAACAGTTACTCCTGCAACTACAAAGTTCAAGCTTGTAACTCTGTGTTTCACTCGACACAGAGAAGAATAAATACACACTCATATATATATATATATATTATTGGTTGCAATATGGTTAAAGTGACTTTTGTTTATGAGGATACTCAGAGCTATCACAGCCTTGTTGGAGGACATTTGCGATTATTGAAAATGTTCTCGGTTGTCTTTTAACAGTGGACAACACTGTGAAGCCCCGCTAAGTATTAACAAATATTGGAATAAGACACTTTATAAACACTAAAAAGAGACAGAAAATTGCTAAGGGTAAAGCAGGTAAAACACTTTTTTTGCGGCTACTAATTGATTTTCATCCACATCCAATGACCACTAACACCATAACTCTGGTTTACTCACATAAGTGGATAAACATGAACATGTAAATAGTCATAAGGATAAGGACAGTTGTAAATGTGCATAGAAGTTGCAAACTGTGCAGAAAATCACTCACTTTATTTATGCAAAGAACTTGGAGAGGAGAAAACTGATAGATTTTATGCAAATCATTTACCTGGATTCTTTCGCGGGATTTCTGTCCCGTTATCATCTGAAAGCAAATTCATACATAATTTAAGTTGATAGTTGTAGAAATTCTTGACAACTGTGAAGATATTTGACGTGTCAGGAAGGTGCTATTTTATATTCTGTGTGATTTGTTGATTATCCCATTCAAACCTTAATCAAATGCACTATGGTGTTACTGAGATACACGATATGACATTCGACATATTTTCTGTTCTATGACATCTTGTTAAGTTGGCTCAGTTATTACCGACCATCTCTAACTTCCTCTTCACATAATATCTCTTATGTCACTCTCGTAGGCCCGGTACATCGTGCCATGCCTTCATCTGAGTTTCATTTTAGTGCCCGCCTCGCGTGTGTTGTCACTCAACAGTCTTCTGAGAAAATAAATCTCAGTTATCTCCATTCTCTTCTGCTCCACACAATTTTACTGTAAAGTTAACTCAGAGGTGTGAGTGAAGTCACACTTCTGTCATTTGTATATGTGAGAAGCTATTTACATGTCCTTCCTCAATCTGTTTGCTTACAAACAATTTGGGAAGTGAGATATTTATTTAACTACAAGTGAAGCCATTTACCTAAGTGCAGTGGTGCTTAATTTAATACATCAATTAAGTCAGAAATGCATACGACAAAGTTACTGGGTTTCAGTAATGGAGATTTATGTGAAAGATTGCTTCAAAATTGCGTCAAACAAAAAAAGCTGTAATGTAATCCGGTTAAAAAAACTCACTTGTTAGGAAGACACCATTCATGACTGATAACACTGAAAATTAAGGAATTCATTGACAGAAACAGTTATACAGCATGATATAAAGTGTTTAACCTTGAAATATATGCAAACGATACGCATTTACTTCGAAATTATTTCAAAAGTGACCAGCAGACATACTACACCAGTTGGCGTAAACAACCACTATGTGAAACCCCTTACCCGGATCAAACCAAACTCTCCAGTAATGTGAATCTGTATATCAAAACAAAAGATGTTGGTTAGATTTGCAATAGTTGACAGATTGCAAAGTGAAACACCTCTCTAGTGGCACATGTCAACTCAATAAAGAAATACAATTCTGTAGTCCGGATTCTGCTCATCTCACAGGATGTTAATATTTTTTGTGTGTTAAGGGTTGGATTGGATAATCTTCGTGAAGTGACAAGTTATCATCATCATCATCTGCGTGAAAATTCTACCATTGCATGTTCAATTCACATTGAAGAGATACCACACAATTTGCTGAGTAATCACAACGTGACAACAACTTCCACCTTTTGTGATAAATTCAAGTAAACAATGATGTCTGACTGAAGGAAACAATCATCGCCATTTGTGCATCCTATTCGTGAGATTCTTCACCAGTAAACATATCTGAAATGTTAACAACTGCAGTAGATTTATATGAATACGCATATCGTTTCACATGTCTAGTGTCATTTATTCAGCCAATCAGTCGTTTCTAAAACTCTCTACCATATTGTTACGAATATCCTTCAACTTACACGAATCGTCGTGCGTCGTGACGATAACCAAATTTCCTTGAATGTTTCGAAAGAAAATACGAGGAATGATTGACGATGTTTATATAGTGAAAATACATGTAGCAGATGCTTATACCATTTGCAGATTGGTGACGTTTACAAGTGAAGTGACCAATAATTAATTTATGCAATGCTGCACTACAAATAGAATAGAATAAATAAAATCTGGTTGTACTCTGGTGTCTTAATGTCTGAAAGTAAGTGTCTTTGACTCATACTTCACCAGAGGTGAGATTAATTGGAAAGGGTGTCCTAAGTATGCTCTACTCAGAGCTTCGAACCTGCTCCTTTTGCTTCAATCACAACTTCATTTCAGATGATTATGGAAATGACTGCGATGCCAAGAAAATTAATGGTTCAAATTTGCTGTTGTTCCTGGATAAATGTGAAACAGAATGAGACCTCATTTCATAAGATTTTCAACGGTGTATTTGATTTAGGCTGCAAGAATATAACAGTTTTATGAATTTCACTTACCACGGAAGTCATCCGGTGCTTCTGTCGTTTCATAAACTGTAAGACATAAAATTGTATGAAACTGATTGTGTGAACACACGCACACCCATTATATCCATTCAAGTTCATAACAGATAAAAATGAATGTGTGTTTCACGCGCATTTAGATACAATTCGGTAGTTGATACAGTTAGAGAAATACAACCAAGGATGCATTTAACTTGCCTTATAAGAGTGTATTTATAATAATACTTGGGTGTTAGAAGAATAACTTACTGTTCGTATTTCCTTGCCTTTCCCCCGTTTGACGTACTGTGAACATAAAATAAATACAAATTACGTTAAGGAGACCACAAGCGACACAATCTCAATGTAAACCCCGGTGAACATGTGTTGGGAGGAAGTTAACAGTGACTTATTATGAGGTTTAAAATTTGTTTATTCATGTGTAATTACTGCACCCCATTCTTAACTTTTGGGTCCCATGAATACACACTTTACTTGGGAAACCTCACTATCCTTTTCCTCTCACAGATAACACATACGTAGACACCACTTGATTTAGGTTCAATGACAAGGTGAAAATGTTTAGTGTTCATCGCCTCAGTATGGTTCGAAAACAAAATGTTAAGAGACATTTGAATTTTCGACACCGAATATTGTTTGCTGGAAGAAGATTTTACATCCGTTTCCACCGTTTTTGGATTTTTCTCTACAGGAATAAAATCGCATTGAACAACTGACAAAGACGACATATTGCATGTATACTCAACATAACACTTCACTTCCGACTGTGAATCGAAAGCACACTTCAAACAACAACACATTTCACACATTTGACAAACGCTCGGGACAAGAAATGAAAGTATCAAGTTCACAATAACTCACCGACACTTCCAGAGACAACCAACGTTACGATCCAGATCAGGCAGACAATCTTCATCTTGCTGAGTGACTTCCTTCTTAACCATCCCGTCTTTTATAATATAACCTGTCAGTCTCCAGCCAATCAGAAACATTGTGGGTGGTGAGTGAAGACAATTTGTAGGCCATTATTTTCACAGACAATTGGACAGAGATGATTGCTCATATTGTGATAGGTAGGTTACAAACACAGTTTTCGTTTGATGTTGGTGAAGGACATTGGTAGTAAGAGCAATGGCAGTCACTGTGAAGCTAAACTGTGGTGAAGTGGTAACTTGTACAGGAATATTCCTAATGTATTTTCCTTATCAACAACCGCCTTTCTCGTACTACTGCAAGTCAGCAGTGGAATAAATGTTGTACGATGCGAGTTTCCATAACTAAGTGTTCTTCACAAAACAGAAGGCATTTTATTCACTTTTTCGCATTTACGATATTTTTGATCCTTGTGATGATTTATCTTATTTCATATTTATGTTATTTTATTCATGGTTGTTGAGCCCAGCATCAGTTCATTCGACAATGTTGTTTTGTTTTTGATACAGTGATTGCTTGCAGGGGTGTAAGGGTGATAGCATACGAAACACCAAACACTATCATTATTTGATGATTGGATATGTCTTCTCCATAAGGACAAATTTCAGTGGGTATGATTAACATTTAGTCGATAGATTAACCACATGCATATCAAACTGTGAAAAGTAGCTACATGTAGGCTAATTTCAAATAGGCACGGAGATTCTATTACTTGTCGTCTGCATACAACTATCTGTTATAAATCTAAACAAATATCTATCTGATGGTTTGAACTATGTCTCAGAAATGTTGGCTCATCATTGTCGAATTCTTCGTCATCTGTTTTCTGAAGTTGTTTTAGCAACATTTAGGAAAGCTCTCTCATTTCGTATAGTTGCATGAAGCAATGATATTAGCATGTCTGAGGTTGATTTTTCTTAACCTTGGTATTATGTGTAGTTAAAGCCGATCACCTGGTCCACTAGAAGTATGAACGGTCATGGAGTAACACTTCCAATTATGCAGTCGACATAATTTTGAGGTGTGACAATGATAGCCATTTTAAATATTTCTGTACTCGTCAGTGAATATTCTTCGTCTGTGTTGAGACTGACTGATCTTTTTCATCGGGTTTCGAAGTATCCATGCGAACCACCTACTTAAACGAGCCTTTGAAAAAGAATGGAATCTGACTCTGATCACAGCGTATATGAAGCATGTAAACTCATTTTGTAAGCCTCAGGCTGTGGTAATATCATTACATTTTGGACGGGTTGGACATGTGCGAATTTCAGGACTTCTGTTGTCAAGTCATTCAAATAAGATGGAAAAGTGCCAAGAGCCCATAGTGACTACTTCCATGCTTAAGTGTTACCTAAAGCAGTTGAGTTGTACTGTGCAAGAGGCTCAAAACTTTTTTATGAACGACGTGGTTCAAAATATACCCTTTCAAATTGAATCTACATTCAGGTGGATTCTATGTTATGCTGATAGTTGGGTATCTTAAGTTGAAGCACCTTCACCAATGAAAATTTCGTACCTGACATCATGGTTTGCTAGACCGCAATCGTTCTCTAGATCGTTTATTAATTTCATTCATTTCTTATCTACTTTTGGTGACAGTGTTTCCAGTTGACGATTTGTGTGGAAATAATAGTGTGACAATATCCCAGGGGTGACTGTGACGTTTCTACATAGTGAAGCTTTCTCGATGTTTCTTCAAATTAATACAAGTTCATGATATATAAACTTGATTCGAGAATGTGGCTGTGATTCAAAGATGGATTTCAGAAATCCATGCACAAGACTGCACTGCTGAACACAAGCGTAACGGGGAGATATCCTATTCATTAGAGAGCTACTCATCGTTTGTGAGCTCCGCCACTGATAGTGATTGTCCGCTAGTTCGACACTTGCTTGCTTTAAGAGTTCTGCCTCTAGAATACACTCAGAATAGACGATGGCCTAATGATGCCAGTGAAATGGTTGGACTATTCACTGTTAGCTGATAGTTCCTGATTTCTCTAGCTGAAGACAAGCGATTTTCATAATTCTTAAACATTCAATATCTGAATCATAGAATTATTACTCCACCGATTATAAGGTCTCTTATAGATAGTTTTCATTCTGTTCACTAGTACGTCTAATTTCGTGGGGCAGTGTTGTTGTTAGGTAACAGGAGAAGATCAAAGAGTATGTTATGAAATGTGACTGTAAATTTGACCGGCTGCCTCTTGTCAAACATAGTGGTGCATATATTCATGCTGACTGGTCGCATTATGCACCAGCTATTGCGAATTTTTTTCCATATCTATCGACAGTATCAGTGGAAAACTTAGTCTAAAAGCCGTGGAAACGATTTCCAGTGGAGAAGGAATTCCTAGTGATTGCATGAGTTACCAATCATACTAACCACTTCACTGATAAAAATGAAAACGATTGACTGTGAAATACTGCCTGATGTTATCCCCGCGCAGATTTATGTCGTCTTCAGTCACTGAATGAGTAGGATAGGCCATAGAACTACAAGCCAGGAGAAACTGTCTCATATCGCAAGGCAGAGCACTCAAATACTCATGAAAGTTTTGTCTTAAAAGTCTTGAAATTTAAAATTCTTCAAAAACCTCTAGTAATTACGACTTGATGTGATCTGCATTGCCGTAGCGGAAGTGATCTCCTAACATTCATAGTGATTCTGCTGTAGAATGTCGAATCCCCTGTTTCCATTTTTGGACCAAGAATATCATTCGGTTCCCACGGAACACCTTACTTAGCTTAGAAATAATCAGTTATCTGACATGAATGGTATTTGCAATAATCTCGATTATTATCTTCATTCTGTAGACTAAATCAAAATACATGCGGATTGATGTAAATGAAAATAGCAATACTGAACCAATTCGAAGATCTGACAGTATGGTAAATCAACCAGACGAAATTTGAAGTACAGTGAATGTGGTGAGCAACTGTCTGCATTGATTGACTATGTAGATATCCGCTATCATCATCTGCCGCTTACTCGCTCTTATCATGAAAATTCTGTGAGATACAAATTTCTTACTTCTGTCCTCCGTGTACTTTATTCTGTTTAGCTGTTAGCCGGTTACTGCCAATTAATTCATCATACAGACCTGGTAAAATATGTGAATCTTGTATGTAGCAGAGTGATATGATCAAACTATGTGACTCTTCTGATAGCTAAGATACTCAACAAAGTCACGTTTACACTTGGTAACCGTTTCTGAAGTAACGTATCGCCAAATTCATGCAACCCATATTCCCTTCGTATTTCGTCAGTGTGTGCTCAGTGCATTGCCGATTTAGTACTGTTTGAAACTGGTTCTACTCAGGGAACGCGCAAAGTTTTTCGTCGAGTTAGGTAAATAACTCATTATCCAAGGAAGTGGGAATAACTAAAGTTCCCATCTTTACTATTATCTCAGAAGTATCAGCATTATAATTCAGTGCAAACGTTTTCCCTAGGAGAATAACAGATCACAGTTTTTCTTAACTAAGTTCATAAACTTTCGTTTGAAGTTAAACAATACGAAACAAGTTGCATTGCGTGATTTCACGCATTCACATTCTTTTCAGAGTTTTGGCATGTATACCTGTGTGCTGCCTAACAAATTAATGCCACACAAACGCATTCCTGTTTATTCTTTTGTTATCTTTCTCAAGAAAGTTCAAGACGAACTAGGTCAGTCAGTTCACTTTTCTTTTACACAACAATACAATGCTGCTCATAATATACTCACTAATTTATGATTACTTCCCTGTTGTGGGAAAAACCACTCACGAATTTATCACAGCCAACGCATAAAGTTGTTTACGCCAAGAGGAAAGCTATTTAGTATCCTTTATACTGCTTGAATCAGTATCTGTTATACTGTAGCTACCAAAATCTTCCATATTCATCATAACCAGTTTAGTTGAATGTTGTCGGAGTATATTTTCTGTCTTCGGGTACTGAAAATTTCTCAAATTAAATAAATAATCAGACATCAGGCGAACTGGCTTTCTTTGCAATCCTCTATTGATAATCTGTGGAGCACGAATGGGAATCGACGAGTTGGTTGATGATGAAATGGGGGGGACTGAGGGATGAGAGACTTTTGGATAGAATGGAGAGCGATATCATTCTACGGTCTCTTCAGTGACGTTTGTTACACCCATCTCGATATTGTTCGACTCAGAAATAGGTTCTCGGTTGCATTATTCCCCAGATTTTCTCCTCTACACCAGCGGAGTTCAGACGGTTTCGAAACTGATTTCGGAGTGATGAAGGACTCTGTTGCCTTTCAAATCTTGCCTCGTTTTGACATTGCTGCGCGTAGTTCAAACCATGTTGCATGGCCATATAGGTGAAAGAATTAACTTCTT